TAAACCCTAAAACCCTTTTTCTTCTCGTTCCAAGGGTCTTCTTCCTTACTATGACAAGTTACACTAATGTCTGCAGCTGGCATCGTCGTGAGACTCGGAATCAACACGTGGTGGCTTGTCCAACTGGTATCAGTGATTTGGTCGCAGACTTCCCCCTTGGTGCAGAATAAACATCTTCACTTTCGAGCGGTCACCTGCCGGCCGGTCGTATTGTAAACACTTTTCCTCATTGCGATACCACTAAGCCATATAGTGGGAATGAAACAAGGGTGGGTGGGAATAACGCATGACGGAATAATGTCATGACGTTAAGGGGATTGCATAAATATAATAGGGAATGAAGACCTCGTCGGTCTGAATGCCCGTTATATAGCAATCGACACCGTTTGATTGCCCTATAATAGCCATTGGAAATAGGAATACAAACAATGTATTGTTCTGCGGCACATTATCATATTAATAATTACGTTATTAATCTGATCATGTGCGCATAACTATTCATTTGTTGTATTCCTATCAACCCCAGCGCCAAAGGTGATGTTCATCTATCGCAATGTCCCGAAAGGTAGTCCTCTCTTGCTGATATCAGAACACATCCCTCATCAGGGAGGCGCCCACTGTCTACTGCCTGCGGGGTCTACGTACTCCCACCGCTGACGTCATATTTTCGTACGGAAGATGATTGGTGGTCTCCGAGGGCGGCAGGAGCCGGCACACCAATCAAGACGCCGTTGAGATCACGGTCACCTTGTGTTATCGGGTTGCTACGCTTATAAGACTTCAGCGATGATGGCTGCACTCCGGGTATGGCCGCAATAACATCATCGCTAACCCCCAAGGAATGATCAATTGCCACAAAGCCACGTCTCATGCCATGTGGAGATTTGTGTTCCATCTTGTCAGTGATGACGGCATTCGTGTTATCAAAAGCAACATCCTCAAACGCCACATGGTACAAAGTCAGCCGCCGAAAACCGAAGCACCAGTAAAATGCCAGTAGTGCTCGTGTTGCTACATCCACTTTGTGCGAAGTGGTTACTTGCAATATCATATCGATGCTTAAGACTTGCACGCCTTCACCAGCCTCTGGTCTGTGATGATGCACCAACTGTTTGAAACCTTGGATGTTAAATCGCCCAAGTCTCGTCCGTGTAAGGTTGACTGTTCAGTTGGGTAGCTCTCCACTTCAACGCAGATTGATACTTCTTCAACTCGGCCACTGTGCATCCTTGATAGAATAAGTATGCACAGAAGTTCTGCAACACGTCTGTCTGTGATGGTTGCGCAACTGAACCCACCGCTACTGAACTAGAATCATCTTCGGATAGAAACTGATCCCAATACTGAAGACCAAGCCGGTAATTGGTCTCCGTGGTTTTCTCGATACCTCCTGTTGCTAGGGTACGCGACACCTCATTGGCTGGAACTAAAGCAGATAGCTTCTGGCGTTTTGCACGGTCGGCTCGTACAATTCTGCCATATACTGATGTGGTAGAATCGCCTGTTTGAGTTTTTGGGCCACGTTTTCGGGATAGTGAACTGCTCCTCTCTCCAGAATAAGAAATTCCGGGACGTGTTGCACTATGTGTGGCGCCACCATACTGCTTTCGGCCAGTATGGAATTATTAACACCGACTTGGTCAATTGTGCATCCAGTTTGGTCAAGATGGTGGGTAGCATCGTCTCCGGTGGGGCTAGCATCCCCAGCTCCTGATCCCAGCGCGTTGCGAAGGGTAACAACTCCTTCAGATTTGCGTGATGGGCCAGGTGCACATAGTAACTGTCCGGAAACTCTGGGCCGTGGGTCCGGTTTTGAACGGCCCACTTTAGGTATAATTGGAAGACTGCCCTTATCGTCCAATGATACTGCAACAGCTTCCCCATTCGTGATAAATCGTCCGCTGCTAGGTTCAGCTTCCCCGATAAGTAGCCCATAGCAACCGGCCACCGGAGGTGCTGATAGTGACAGAGCCAAGTTAGCCGTCGTAGCTGACAGTTCATCAATCTGGATGGACTGCATCGTTTCCGTAGTGCGTGAAGTGCGGTACTGGAGTCCGTCAGAACCAAAAGTGCTGATGTTGCCGTTATCAGCTTCCTGTCGACAAAGTGTTCGATGGCCAACACTATGGCTTTCAGTTCGAGTACTGCGATGGGCCACCGACTCTCCATTTGTGTCCACATGCCGGCGAATGAGTACGTCTTCGCTTCGAAATTGAAACGTTGCTCTATACCCTATCTTCGATGAATCTCTTGTGAGTTATCCATTGGCGGCCGGTAACCAAATAGTCCTCGCCTCGAATTGCTTCACCATCACGTTTATCTTGTCGATCTTCTTCATGACAGCTCCTGATATTCGTATCTCCTTCTTCGTCGAGTTCCATTGGTTCACCAGGCGTATCTCTGCGACGAATGGCCGAAGCCCTAAGACCGCGAAGACAGCCCATTGGAGGTGGCCCAGGTATGACTACCACTGACGAATAGGCACTCGTCTGATGTTTCTTCGGCACGTAGCTTTGATCTTCCGGCTCAGACCCAGAAGTTTCGCTTGAAATTTCGGCGAACACCAATCCCAGTTCGTTGATCAGGGCGTCGATGAACGCCTTGTGACGCCTGATCTCGTGTGAACGACCTAGTAGTAACAGATCGTCCACGTACAGAATGATTCGGATCCCCTGCGACCGAACCACTCTTCTGAACACGTCCATGAGGCGGTTGAACCAACGTTGCCCCCATCGGAAGGGCCATAAAGCACCATAGCTGTCCTGTCCTGTCCCGAAACTGCCACAGTTTGGGCTCGGCCACTGCTAGTGCGTAAAACCCGTCCTGTACGTCCGCCGAGAGCAACACATCCCCTCGTCGAGCTGTTTGGGTCAACTTGTCCAATCCTTCGATTCGAAACTTCTTCTTCTTGGCGTGGTCGTTGATTATTGCCGGAATGAGGATCAGGCGGGCCCGAATCCCGTCCTATTTGGGAATCATGAAGGCCGAATGTGACATGTGCAGCTCCCATTCCTCGCACTGTCGGATTACCCCCGATTCGAACAACCTGGTTAGCTCGGTCCTTTCCATCTTCGGTGTTACCTCCGCGCTGACCTGCCCAGTTTGTTCCACTCTGGCCTAACGACGTATCGGATGGCCTCTGTCACGGTCCTTGGGGCCCGGTAGTGTCGCCATTTCTGTAGCTTCTCCCGTACCCGTAAATAATGTGCTTTGGCCAGCTTTACCTGTCCTTGTCTTCCTTAGCGGTCTTGCCCTTTTTGTCTTTTCTACCTTTGTCCTTGTTTTCCTTGTCCCTGTTCCTGTCTCTTTTCTTGTTAATATTCACTCGGTTCTGTCTGTAAGATACAGCTACCTCAAAGTCGCGCTGCTTCTTCAAGAATGGTCGAACGATATGTCCGATGTACGGGTCGTTGTCGCGCTCACCCCGCCACTGTCTCTCACTGGCGATGGCGATGGCTGGACCGTGCTTGACTCCGATGTACTTGGGGCCAATCAGCTGTGCTTTATCACGGGATAACGTGAATATAACTCCTCGATACAGCCTCTCTCTCTCTTCCAGAGGATATCCTCCAAGGTCTATCTGGCACAAACTGTGCATCAGGAAGTTGGTGTGACGAATCAGATTCGTCAGCTCGATTGCGGCAAGCTTTCCCTTCTCCTCAAACCACTCAGGGCAGGTTACGGCCGCGCTCGCAATTCCCCTGTTGAATCGCAGGTCCTCCTGCAACCACAGGTGTGCTGTCCGGGGTCAGGGGCTGGACTTCCCTCGAGCAGTAGCCGTCGTCCGTCTGCGGATTATACTTCTACAATCAAAGTAGCAATATAATCACTGTGAGCCAGCTCACAGGCGAAAGGCAGTCAACTACTACTGCCACCAGATAAGAAGAGTATGGAGAGCAACGGAGAGGACCAGCAACCAAGAAGATATCGAGAACTGGACTAAACTGAAGAAATACACGAAGAGATCCTGAACAGAGGATACATACATTGTGGAAGGGGGCGAGAGTCCATATACTCTCGCCGGTCTATCCTCTGGAAGAGAGAGGGAGGCTGTATATATATA